TGCGAGAAAATCTTACTAGTTTTTTGTTGTGACCTTGAGCATTTACTTCTATTCCGATATTTTCTTAAATAAAAATATTCACGTGAAAGTTAGCAAGGAGTACGATTTTGTTGCTCAAGTATTTGTAGCCTTGAATTAGAAAAAACACGAGAACAATTCACCTTTTACAGTTGGTTCGGTGATTACCCGAGCAGTAGGAGTAGATACAGGAAACGGTGTAGAAGCAGGCTTTTCATTTTCATCGAAGCTTCCTTTAAAGAGGATCTGTTTTTTTTTAAAGTGATGTAGAAGTTACCATTAGAACCAGGCTATTGTTGTGGATTTTTGCTCTTATTAGAACTTTCAGCAATGTTGAAGGAATGGAGTGATTAAAGACTGAAACATCTAAAAATTCTACCATTTCTGAGAGCTACTTAGAAGATGCGGATTAGAAAGCGCAGACAAGAAAGTTCTACAGATATAAAGAATCCTTGTGCAGATGCAGACTTATAGTCCTACAAATAATATGTCTTTTTTAGTCTCATTTCATTCCCCTTTCTCTCTAGGAAAACCATTTTGTTTGTATTTGAAAACTACACTCTAACGGTTGGACATTTTTGCTTGCTCAAATTTGGTGAGAGGGTTATTTCTCGTCACTTCATATTTCATCTTCGTATGATATCTAGCCGAGTTTAGTTGAGTGAAACTAAAATTGCAAGAAAAAGCACTCACAAAGAATTTCTATTTAAAATACTGTTTTCGTGCTTAGTGGTAATTCAAAGCGATTGAGCATCTTTAGATGGTAATCGTTGTTTGGTAATTGATTCTCCAAATAAATTACAGTAATATTCCTTTATACCAACCATTCCTCTGCTATCATGTGATTTACTTGCTCCACAATTATAGCGCGTCTTGGATTTTTTGGCCCCGTTGCGAACACGAGAGAAAGCGATAAGAATTGAATAAATTATATAATGACTTTCGCTACATTGGGTTCCCAGCAAAAAAATAATAAAATCTCACTCGGAATGCGACAGAACAAGCTCTAATTCTCATTTTAAGCTCATTTTAGCTTAAAAACAAGGATGCTTCTAGCAGACTAGAGTGTTCAGCGCAGTTCCATTTAAAAGTTATCTCCAGAACGTTGCATCCTTTCATGGTAAGTTAAGATTTTTTCCTGTAATATAACTCTAGTTCGAAAAGAACTAAAATGACGAGTTTTTAGTGTTCTGAATGAAAACTAATAAAACGTTATTCGCTTAAATTAGCACACAATTTTTACACCACTCCTCAAGAAACAAGCTCTCGGTCCTGCAAAGTTCCACTAATGAGATTTTGCCTCAGTCTGAACAGATCAATTTTTTTGAGAACATGAATTGCTTAGTTTGCGGCATCATTATGTTTAGAAAAATGCACGTCAGTTGGCTGCATGTGGAAGGAAGGTCATTTTCTGTCATTAAACTTTTGCTTTATTTCAAACTTCCGTGTAAGATTCTTCGATCTTCGCCATCATCTCAATTAGCTGCGTGAGCTTACGAAATCATCAACAAAAGGACCACAAGCCTACTTCATCGTCATCATTTCAAAAGGACCCCTATTCAGGTTGGAGAGCATTGCAATTGTGAAATTATGGAACACAGCGTTCTGGCAATTCAAGTGCTTTTGAACAATAAATTTCATATCTTTATTCGACAATCTTCACTCTTGACGCAGCGCTCTCAGGTGTTGTCCCTATGCTTTACGGTGCTAAAATTACGCAAATGTATCGCTGACCGTAAGACTTCGCACAAAATCTGGAAATGGCTTTGAGTCAACTGACATGAGAAGCTAGATTTTGGCAGCATTTATAAGTACTTGTTCGTTTGCTAATACTCTGCTTATCTTGCGCTCAGTATGAAATTACGGTGCACATAAACATTATCGTATACAAATTTGTTAACTTTACCTAGTGTACTGCTATCAAGTATATCTGGCGTTAGTGCAACATCTGAAACAAAAGTATTAGTCTGCCATATCTTTTGTTCCCAATCGCTACTACCTTACCCTTAAGAGAAGAATAAACAATGTTCAATTTTGGTGGTTTTTCTGGCATCGCAGTATTTGATACTAAAACGGTACCGATGCGTTATTTTGGATAGCTTTTCTTTGTAAATTCTTTAAAGCATATAAGCACAGTCTTTTAAAAAACTAAATAGACGTTACCCAATTTACTGCTATCATGTATATTCGTCGCCACAGCAACATCTAGAAAGAGAGTATTATTCTGACTTTTTTTCGTCCTCACCCCTCCCCCCGTACCCTTGAAAGAAGG